GTTACAGGTCTTTGCAAGCCTCCTCTCCCAAACTGGCTGGTTACAGGTCTTTGCAAGCCTCCTCTCCCAAACTGGCTGGTTACAGGTCTTTGCAATGTGGATATACCACTATCTATTTAATTAACCAGGTAAAAGCCAGAAAGCACCATCAGAAGCCACTTCTCCCACAGCTCAGCAAAGTTATTAAAACACCTTCCACTCTTTTCTCGAAAGTAACTTTTTCTACCTCTTCACCTTTCTCCCTCTTAACCCAAACCTCTGGGTTACCACTGATGACCTGCCTTCACTGTTGTCAACTACTGAGGCCCACTCATTCCCTCTTCCTGCTATCACGCGTGACATCTGTCCAGCCTCCTGGGACAGCTCGCCTCCACCCAGCACCCCGGCTTCACCTCCCTCACCTCCATGCCACTGACCGTCACCTCCTGTCCTCCTGAGCAGCTCACTGCCATCCTCTGGAAGTTTCCGCCTCTATAATCCTCCCTCACTGTGGTTATTACTAGTGTTCCCGTACTGCACTATTTAGGCCCTATTACCCCCCTTCTTCTTAGCCTCTTCTCTCAAGACAACTGATCTGAATTTCTCCTATTTTGCCTTCTATCGAGCACTGCTCTGTACACCAAGGTCAACGGCAAGCCTCAGAAAGGAGAGAAGCAGAGGAGTCTGGAAACTAACAGTTCCACCACACAGGGACACGTGGGATTTTTCATCAAGTAAGATTTTCTCTCTAACACTCTGTACAACCATGCAGAAACCCTGTAACAGATCTGCTCCTGAGTTCTGGGTTTGGGAGCGCGCTGGTGGGCGGGCAGAGGGTAAAGAGATGTAGGTATATGTGTTCACCGAGAAGAGGCAATCCCACAGGATCTTAGGGGCCGAAGATGGACCATGGGGCAGATCCCTTGGGTTTGAAATGCTGGCCCGTTTTGCTTTGAGCCAAACACAGAAGAACTCACCGCCTGCTGGGGTGCCCCCGGCAGAAGTTTTGCCGTCTGCAAAATCGAGTACTGCCCGTGGGTGCCGGAGGAGATGGACACGTCCGACGCCGACTTTTTCACCACTAAACCAGCTGTGAAAACCAACGAGGGCAGAGTCTCAATCTTAGTGAAGTCACCAGCTGCTCTGAGGCCAATTCCCAGCCAGCCGAGAGCCAGTCCAACCACGGACACGGTTAGGGTCTCAGCCTGTGTGGGGCAGGTGGGCATCCACAGGGTCGGTATTAAATTTCTCTTTTGATTCTCAGTTTGTGCCTATTCTCTAGATAAGTATTATTTGAATGCAAATTTTAATCTAACATCCTGGGGGGGGGGTCAAAAATCTGATATAAAAGTCAATGTATTTTGGAGTGGTTTAAAATACACTACTGTTTTTAGGACCCCATTTTAAAAATGGCTTGTGGGCAAAATCTAAAAAATCCCAAAGCAGGGGAATAAATGATATTAAATGGCACAGTCATTAGGAAATCATATTTTAGAACATGCAGGGGCACCTGGGTGGCGCAGTCGGTGAATGTCCGACTCTTGCTTTTGGCTCAGGTCGTGATCTCAGAGTTGTGAGATCGAGCCCCGCGTCAGGCTCTGTGCTTAGTGCAGAGTCTGCTTGGGACCCTCTCTCCCTCTGCCTCTGCCCCTCCCCTGACACTGGCATGAGCTTGCTCTCTCTCTAAAAATAAATAAATAAATCTTAAAAAAAAAAAAAAAGAACATTTAAAGACACAGACATTAGATGAAAGACAAAGGACCAAGCAGAATGGATACCAGTTTTGTAAAAAATAAATAAATAACCACATGTAGGTATAGATGTACATAATCAGAAAAAGGCTAGAAGTCTTGTGGTTGACAATTGTTACTTGTAGACAATCAAGTGCATTTTAAAATTTTATTTTTTTATACGTATCTATTTTTGTAAATTTTCACAATACGATATAAATTTTATTTTTTACTTATTTAGTATTTTAATCTCTGAGTGTTAACTCAGAAAAGGAAAGAATATGCTTAAAAAGTCACGTGCTTCCAGCTTGCCATCGATTACTAATGTGACGTAAGCCAAGATGAACCCAATGGGAAAGTAAAGCCTGAGGGAAAATCTCTGACTGTCACACTTTCGGGGTGGGGGGAAAGAAGTAAACAGTAGAGGTAAAACAGAAAGTGCTCAAAAGCCCGTCACCAATGTCTTTTCAGGTCCTTAAGGGAAGCTTGAGGGGCCAAGGACCGCTCTGGAGGAGACAGGAAGAGGAGTGCCGTCCTCGGGGCCGGGCCGGGAAGGGCCCATCCTCAGGTGGCCGGACGCCAGGGGCAGCAGGTGTGGGCCTGCAGAAGCCAGGACGCCTGGAGTGCCGGGTATCGGGGCTTCCTGGAGCCCTGGGAAACAGGGAGGGGGGAAGCAGGCACGGACAGAAGGCCACTTCTGCGGGGCTGGGGAGGAAGGTGCTAGAAGGTCTTTGCTTGGCGGCCCCCTCCATTTTCCATTCTCTACCATCTCCAACAGAAAGCCCCTTAACGCAAACCACGGCTACGGGCAGGCGAACAGCTGTGTACAAGAATCACGTAGTTTGCTGTGAGAAACACAACCGTCTCTGGGATCGACACAAAAAGGAGCCTGAGGAGGGGAAGGCGCTGGGGACCCAGCGAGGCAGCAGCGACTCAGAGGCAGGTGTTGAGTAGCAGGAAATAGGGGGTTATTCCCAGCAGGCATGGTGGAAGCCGAAAGCAACAAAGTCTTACTTGGAGGGGGGGGTCTCTGCGGTGGGTGAGGTGGCCGAGGCCTAGTGGGAACCGACAGAGACCTGCTTGGAGAACGGTGCCGGAAATCTCCAACTGCTTCCGGCTCCTGCTTTAGCGCCACCAGCTCAGCATCATCTGGAGGACATGGTGGAACGCGAGTGAGGCGTGAGGCAGGGCCCGGACTCGGGTCTGCGCGGAACCGACTGCAGGAGGGCCCCCCGCAGGGCAGGGGGCCCCTCTCTGCTGGCATGGGAGGGCAGGAGTGGGGCACCCACTGCCTGCTTGGAACAGGAGATGAACTGTGGACAAGGCTTCCAGTCCAGACATGAGAGACATGGAAATTTTTCCAAGGGTAGGGGTGTCTCCTTCTAAAATAATGAAGGAGACTCACACAGAGTAGAGGAGGCACTTGAAGACCAGAGCCCCTCCGTTTGAATTCCTCACTCTAACACAGGACAGCTGGTTTTGGAAGCTGAGAATATTCTCTGCCTCTGCCCACAGGGTAGCCTGCCATCCGGGGGCAAGCTCCTGGTATGGGGTGTCCCTGCCCACCGTCACCCATTGCCAGCTACTTCACAGGTGATCGACCTCCTGACTTGTCCTACAAATACCTTCTAAGGCTCGGAGGGGCGTGAGGACGTGACTGCTTTGATTTTATTACATATACACTTATTACACATAAGTTCGGGGAAATTGCAGGTCTTCTCTCCCACACTACAGCATAGCCCGATTTTTGGCTCAGACGCTCCACCCCTCACATTTCCAACAGCTCAAACCCATGTATTTTTGAGGTTGGAGCTGGGAAGAGGCAGGGCTTCTCCTTCTAATGGGAATGCCTGAACCCCCACAGCATCAAGGACATGCCTTCTCGACACCTGCCAGGTGGCAAGGTTGCCCACATAGCCCCATGCCCCTCTACTAATTTTTCACTCCAAGAGATCTTGGTGCACATATGTGCCCTCCCCTCGAGAGGCTTCCTGAATGATGGCCACTTCCGCAGAAAAGGACTGCCTGCTATCTGAAGAGCATGCCCCTTCAGCCACTTCCACTCAGGGCAGGAGCCCTCTGGATGTGCAGTGCACAGAACCACCTCGATTGGGCAATGGTCCCCAAACCCAGCCACGCATCTCAGTCACCTGGGGAGCTTCATGAAATACCAGATTTTCAGGGTCCCAGCCCACCCCTGCCAAACCCACATCTCCATGATGGGGATCAGCAACTGTACATTTAAGAGCTCCTGATGGCTCAATGCAGCCAGGCTACTAACCACCTTTGGGACCATGGCACAAAGGGGCTTGGGGGTGTCTGCACCTCTCCCGGCAAATTACCTTCCCTGGGAAGCATCTCAATTCACTTTCACCCCGTTCTGTATTCTCAGCTGCAGCTCAAAGGGGCCTGACACATGCTAAGCTGCCGAACCTACCAGACAGAGCTTTCCTCCAATGGGGAAGGCACAGCGAGCGGCAGTGGGAATCCACTTGTGGCTGTGGGAGAGTCTGGGGCTGGGGCACAAACGACCCTAATTTCCAGCCCATGAAAGGCCAGCGGGCTTTAAAACTTATTCAAAAGGGCCATTACACCATATAACCTAGGGCTTTGCAGTTTAATCTGCGGGACTTTGAGTCCCTCTTTGCTTAAGTCTCAAATGATAGAATGATGCTAATGTATCATATTACTGTGTAATAACATGTTACAGGAATGTAACCAGACCCCAGCACTGAGGACATAGATACTGGATGGACCCGGACGGTGTGCTAAGTGAAATACATTAGACATAGAAAGACAAGTATGATTTCACGTACATGTGGAACCTAAAAAACAAAACAAACAACAGCCAAAAAAAAACCCAAACCCAGAAACAGACTCATACATACAGAGGACTGGTTGTTGACTCCCCGGGGGGTGAGGGGGAGATAGGTGAAGGAGATTAAGAGATACAAACTTACAGTTTAAAATCAGTCACAGGGATGAAAAGTATAGCATAGGAATACAGTCAATAATACTGTTTCAACATTATATGGTGACACATGGTAACCACACGCACTGTGTAATGTATAGAATTACAGGTTCACTAAGTTGTACACCTGAAACCAATATAACGTTGTATGTCAATTATATTTCAATAAAAAAATAAGTATGTCTCTTACGGGATTGAAATATACATTGTGGAGAAGAAAAACAGAATTACAAATGTAAAACCAATTCAGGGCTGTGGCCATTTAAACATACTGAGGAAGCAGGGATTACCACGGATCTGGTAAGCTGTAACGGTACCAGTGGTAAAAATAAATAAATAAAAAGCACAGAGAAAATCAGTGTGGTGGTAGCTGGATACGGGCCCAGAGCCCGGTCTCCACCCACTTGCTAGGACTTGTGGTTTCAGCCCTAGCGTGGGCTGTGAGCACTTAACTGGTGGCCTCATGCAATGCCCTGGTGCGGAGAGAAAGCAGATCGGGTGCCAGAGGTTCTTTAGAAAAGGAAGGGCCAAGCTACCTTTGTAGGTCGGGTGCTGCTTCTTTTTAGTGAGCGCAGGTGACTTGCTGACAGGCACTGCTGCTGTGGAGCTGGGGCCTTCGGAGAGGCTGTCCCCGCCCATCTCGCCATCTGAGACCACAGGTTGACTTAGTTCATCCACCAAATAGTCTTCATCATCTTCGAGAATATCCCCTGGGGGAAGGAAATGTCACAGTGCACAGTGAGGGTAAATGGCACAGCCTTCGGGCAGTGGGTCTGTTTCACCATCCGGGCTTGCTGCTCGGCGTCGGGACGCCTGCGGCCCAGCCTCCAGCAGCCTGGGGGCGCCCACGTGTCAACAGGTACAGGACACCAGTTCCATTCAGGCCTGAGATACGGACTGAGCCCACAGCCCAGACAGCCTCAAAAACACTGTTCTCACTGTCATTTCAGACGGCTCCAGGTCTTACTGCTTCATGCATCACCCCTAGATGTGCACAGTGCCAAACTGAGCACACAGAATATAGTGCTTGTGCTCCAAGGACCGCCTGTCACCTTAGGTGTGAGAAGGGGGTCTTGAAAATCTCATGCTGGTTGCTGGAACTTGCCTGCTGGCCTCGCCACAATGACCAAGAGGTCCTTGCAAAGCTACTCACCCTCTGACTCATAGTCCAGAGTTGTGAAGTCAAAGTTTTCCTCCAGCAAACAGGAATTGGCAGTGGGAGACATGGAGGCCATGCTATCCCGCTTTCGGATGATCTCCTCTTGCAAACCCTTCAGCCAGTCCTTGGTCTTTGGTCTGATCTTCACGGCTCTGCCTTTCACCTGAGGACACAGTGGCCATCTGAGAAGGAGTACAGACCTCAGAACCACCCCCATGCTTTCAAAGGGCGTTCGGCTCAAACTCCTGCATCAGTAGCAGGCCAATCTTCATGTTTTGCCATGAAAAGTTGAGGGTCTAGACCTCAGGCAAGATCAGCAGAGCTCACGTTTGGCCCAAATAAAAGTTGAATTATCATCTCCAGCTTTTCATGCCATGTGAACGTAAAACCAGGATATTATCAAAATGGGAACTCCTTGTACACTGCATAGTCCAAAATACACCGTCTAAAGAGAAGGACTGCAATGCCCTCCCATGTGCAGGTGTGAGCTGAGACAGACCCAGTGACTCAGGGGGATCTACTTTCTAACATTGCTCTTCCCCCCAAATTCTGCAAGTGGCCAGGGCTGGACATTAGAGACCTCAACGAGGGGACCAGAAATAGACACCAGAAGGAAGGGTGCTAGTTCCTGCCCTCATGTGGTGCCCAAGAAGACTCTGGGGAGTAAGCAGCTCCCCGCTCCATGGGTGACCGAGCACGGCTTACCTTCATACCATCCACATCCAGGACGCTGAGAGCCGAGTGACTGTCTGCAAAAGTCACCAGCATCTGCCCTTGGTTGATCCTGGAATGAATGAGATGGGCCAAGTCAATGCCAAGAACAACCCGGCAGCTCTCGTGGATTCTGGCCGGCCATGTACCCAACACGCACATGGGACCCGCACCAGCCGGGGCACTAATTACCTGACAAGAACGATGGTCCCGTAATTGCCCAGGGTCTGCATGAGTTCTGTGCGCACATCTTCAGGAAACTCGTTTTTCTCTTCTAAGGTCGGTGACTGAAGGTTGACCACGACGGTGGCATCCAGGGGGCCCTGGAAAGAGGACACCTCCCGAAACACCGTCTCCCGAGCACCCACATCGACTTCTTGAACTTCCACCTCCACGATCGCCAGCACGGGTCTGCGTTAGACACAGAGGGAAGACAGGTGATGGGTAACGGGGCCGAGCAGGTCCCAACCCCCAGAGCTCCGCTGTGAAGAGCGAACATCGATGACCCACGGGTGTGGCCCCAGCCCAGTGTCAGCAGCTGGCTGTCCTGTCCTAGGCTTTCAGATTCTATCTTTGCCCAATCTTAGCATTGTCTTGGCATTCTCACCTAAGGGTGGTTTAGAAAAAACAGTGCCAGCCATTAGCAAAGATTTTTCTATGTGGTTTTAGTCAGTACTGCCAAGGATGGAGAGAAGTGGGAATTCCCCCTTGGCTAGGGGTTCAAGCTTTTTGGAGGGCTATTTGGCAATTGCTGTTAAGAATCTCAAAAATGTTCATCTCTTTTAACCTACTAATTTTAATTCTAGGACTCTGTTCTAAGAAAGTGACCAGAGATTCACACAAAGATTTATACACAGGATGATTATTACAGCACTGTTGATGGAAGGGGGAAGGGGAAACAGTCTATCTGTCCCATGACAGGGAAACAGGTTATGGTGCAGCCATATGATAATATTTTACACAATTAATAAGAATAATGTCAGAGAAGTCGAGTTGACATACCCAGGAAAACAGATCAGCAGGAAATAATGCAATCGTTTATTGCCATTGTGCTAGAGGGGTGGGTTTACTCTCTTTACAAAAATTTAGGAAATCCTCTATTATGAAGATTATGTAATCTTGAAGACTTTTATAATACAGTATTAAGTGGAAACAAAACAGAAGACAAAATAGTAGATGATATGGCGGTGACCTTTAAAACCAGGGAACACTGCAAAAATGAAGAGATGTGAGTGGTAATCAGTATGCTCCTCCCACAAACTTATATCGCCATTGTTAGATTTTTTGGGGTTTTTTTGCATCTAGAAAAAAAAAAAAAGAAGATGGAGAAAAATCTGATGCAGGGATATGCACTAAGTGAGTGGCAGAAAACCTCCTGGGAGAAACCGCACACGCTTAAGAGAAGCCTCCTCGCTGAGGAAGGCGGGGGCAGGTGCAGGTGCTCGCGGGCAGCGCCCCCAGCAGGGATGCGAATGGGCTACGGATACGCGGGACGCCTGCATGAATCTGCAGAGAATGAGGCTGGCGGGGAAAAGCCAGTCCCCCCCGCCCCATTCTGATTCCATTTATGTAACATGCTTGGAATGAAGAAATTATGGAAAGGGAGGAGGAGAGCAGTGGTGGACAGGGGTTAGGGAGCAGGGCTGTGAAAAGGCGCCGGGAGCATCCCTCTGATGAAGGGGATGTGCTGTGTCTTGACAGTGACATGGCTGCTATCGTGGTGATGACACTGTGCTACAGAGTGACAGGACCTCCCCACTGCAGGGCCTGGGAAAGAGTACCCGAGCTCTCTGTATTATTCCTTACAGCCGCACGTGCCAATCTAGAATTACCTCAACATAAAACGTTTAATTTAAAAATATGAATGTAGGGGCGCCTGGGTGGCTCAGTCGGTTGGGCGACTGCCTTCGGCTCAGGTCATGATCCTGGAGTCCCGGGATGGAGTCCCGCATCGGGCTCCCTGCTCGGCAGGGGGTCTGCTTCTCCCTCTGACCCTCCCCCCTCTCATGTGCTCTCTCTCATTCTCTCTCTCAAATAAATAAATAAAAAATCTTAAAAAAATAAAATAT